TATGTGGAACCATCATTCTTTTTCTAGACCAAATATATTTTTTAAATCATAAAACACATTCATTTACATGACCCAGGGGAATTGTCACCAAAAATTTGCTTCAGGCTATATATAGGCTATAAATTAGCTATAACTTATTGTCATAATTTTCTTAGAAGCGTTTCATTCATATTTTTTCTTGCATTAAAATAATGAATAATCACAAAAGTGATTATGAAACTGATGTTGCATAGATAAAATAAAAATAAAATTCCAAATCTCTTCTTACGTCGTTAAAACCGTGTCGGTACAATGGAAACAAACTCTTAAGCAATAGTATAGAACACGGGCTGATTGACACAAAGCGTTGATGTCTCAACTCGTTATACCGATTTGTGAATGTTTCTAAATCTGAACCTTCTATGTATTAACAAGATGAAACCTACGACAAACTGTTAATGATAATGCAAAGTCTATTATGTACATATACAATAAAACAGCCATTTTATCTTCGTTCGGAAATTTAGGGTTCCGTAACTCAAAGGGAAAATACTGAATCTCTTCTTTATCTATACATTTAATAAAATTGTAACTAAGCCAAAACTGTACATTAAATATTTTTTTGAAAATCATATTGAAATAAACGTCATTATTATCGATACAGAAGTTGAATCTACAGTTTTTAGAATTTTTGTCTGTCTGTCTGTCTGTCTGTCTGTCTGTCTGTCTGTCTGTCTGTTACCCCATCACAGAAAAACCACTGGAGGGATTTTAATGAAATTTGGTATGGTGATAGCTGGTTATCTGGGTCAACATATAGGATACCGCGGATTTTACCGCGGAAAAATATCTCATTTCAGAGAAAAAATACAATGTAAGAGTATACTAATATGTAAAACCAAAGAATTTGGTCATCTGAACGCGGACAGAGCCGCGGGCAATGCTAGTAGAGTGATATAAAATCCTTTAATTACTAATCTGTTGGACGGAAAAAGTTAAATATTGGTACATAATATTGAAATAAACATAATGTTACCATGTATTTGGGTAACTTAGTCATGTACCTACTTACGCAAGTTAATAATTGTATTGGAATTAGTTTAAATTCACTTAATATGAATAATTATAAGGTCATTGTTTTCCTTTTATTGTATATTGAATAGTCAACTACCTCGATGGATAGTGTCTAGCATGTACGGCCGTAGATCCAGAGGTTCTGGGTTCGAGTCCCGGGTCGGGTCAAGTTTAATTACCGAGTTTTTTAGATATTCTCAGTTCAGCCCGGAGTTGGGAAGTTAGCGGTGTTACAGCCCCGTGCTTGGAGAGAAAGCTGTCTGTTCTACCCCTAAACTCTCACTGGACGTGTCGAAGTATCGTCCCATATCACCTGTGTTTGCGCGTACACTTGTAAACACACTATAATATCTCCTGCGCAGTTAGCTAGTCTCAGTGAGATTGGCCACTATGGCCAAGACAATATTATATTAATGTGCAATATTTTACTTTTTCAGACTGTACTTGCTCGATGGATTTGACTGGAATACGTAATGAAGACATCTTTTATCCTGAATTGAATCTGAGCTTCGTCATATTGGTATATAGAAGAGAAGAGAAGCCGCGGGCAAAAAGTAGTATTTATATAGTTCATTCGCTATACAGCGCAATTTAAATTTCAAATATGAATGTATTATTGAAAAATTCGTGACAATATAGGTAATAAACTGAAACATTTTCCGATTTTATATAATCACTAGCGAGTAGCGACTCACCTTCACTCCTCTCGGGTTTGTCCCTACTTACGTTTTAACATTTAGTATATATTTCTCAAAGATGAGATATTTTCCCGCAGTAAAAGTTATCTTATATGTTGACCCGGATAACCAGCTATTCCGGGGCAGAGGCTGACTGCTACCGGACGCGTCCCCGGGTGGCGGATAGGGGAACACCACTCGCGACTGTTTGGACCCGACAGGAGCTTGTGGTACCGGAGCAATCCGGCGCGGACCAACAGCCAGGAGGGGTGGGGGGAGCGGCGTCAGGAGGGCGCCGTCTCCTTCTTGGAGGTAGCGCGGTGTCTCCGGCCGTTTCGCGGTAGGAGGCGCTGCGCGGGCCGCGCTGACGGGGCTAGCCCGTCGGTGCGGCGGCTGGAGCGGGGCCAGTGCGGTGGTCCTGCGTCTGGCGTGGGATGTCGGCAGCCATTTTGGTCCGGAAGTGGGCCGACGGTAGGGGGGCCGCGGGGGAAGAGGAGTGTCGGTATGGCGATGCGCCGCTCGTCCCTATCTCCCGCGGCCTAGCGGGGCCACCACCGTTTGCTGGCGGACGCGGTGGGGCTGCAGCGGAAGAGGAGTGTCGGTGTTTCGTTGCCGCTCTCCCTGTCCTCTACAGCCGATTGGAGGTGGCCCACTTCGGTGGGCGGAGGTACGGATTAATGGGGCTGCTCCGGGTACCTCTCTGGTGTAGCAGAGTTGACTGTGGAGCAGCCCCATCAGTGTGGTGGTCAGCCGTTGGCAGACCTGCCGCCGGGGCGCCGTAGTAGTTATGCGCAAGCGATCCTGCGGCGTCCCATTAAGGCGGAGGGGAGGGGAATGTCGGGTTTTAGTGGGTAGTACCGGCTCTTCTAGCCGGTGAGCCCTACATCACCACCTGGGGGATCAGGTGGTATGCGTAAATGCATTTCCCGACATTAAAAAAAAAAAAAAAAAAAAAAGAAGGATAACCAGCGATCAACGTACCAAATTTCATCAAAATCCCTCTAGTGCTTTTTCTGTGATACGGTCACAGAAATTTTGTCTGTTTGTCTATCTGTCTGGTAGACAGGCAAACAGAAAATAATTCTAAAAACTATAGATTCGGCCTCGGTATCGATAATAATGACTATATCAATAAGATTATCCAAAAAAATATTTAATGATTCGGTTTAGTTACAATTTTAGTACCTGGGCGACCGAGCTTCGCTCGAAGTTATTGGCTAAATGTACAATTTTCTTAAAAAAAACGAAAAACTTGAATAAATACAAAAAAAAAAAGGAAAATCTTTGTATCCGATTGGGACTTGAACACGGACACTTATGATTGTTAATCTCGCGCCTTGGCTGCTTGACCATATTTTGCGTGGAATAATGCGAAATAAAACGTCATAAAAACTCGAAAACACGCGTTTTCCCAGACATAAGACTAATCTAGATTTTTCGCCCCCGAAAACCCCCACGTACCAAATTTCTGCGAAATCGTTTGTGCCGTTTCCGAGATCGTCGGTATACATAAATAAATAAATATTTACATATACAAGAATTGCTCGTTTAAAGGTATTAGATTATAATAATGTATAGTCTATACATATATATAATAAAATTCTAACTCAGTCGATTCTGTAAATATATATTTTTTGGAAAATCTTATTGAAATTAACATTATTATCGATACAGAGATCGAATCAATCATTTTTAGAATATTTGTCTTTCTGTCTGTCTGTATGTCTTACTACGGGAAAATATTTATTCTCTGATAAATCTATACTAAACAATAAAACCTAAGTAGGAACGAACCTGAGCGGAGCGAGGGTGAGTCGCTAGTAAGATATAATTTTAAAGTGGATTAGAATTGTATTTGAAATTATTAAATTGGGATCAACGATTTACATACAAAGACTTTTGCTATTTGTATAGCATTTTGTGTGTATAGGGCTGATACGTTTTAGTTTTGTGTTTTTAAAGTAGGAACTGGGCGACTGAGCTTTACTCGGCGTTTGTCGAAAAAAAATATAAAAATTGCGTTATTTAGAACCCATAGAGAAAAAGTTAAAAAGCAAAACCTTATCTTAATACAAATTTTGATCCAAATCGTTAGAGCCGTTTCCGAGGTATACAAAATAAAATATACATATCACACATATACAAGACTGACACATATTTTAATATTATAAGATAGTAGAAAGGGCGTAATAATAATATCAACGACTAATATTACATGTATTAGAAGGAGTAGTAAAAGTTGCGTGCATAAAAAAATATAATCATTAATACGTTTGATTACCAATTGGAACTTATGTCCGAAGGATAGCCACTCCTTCTCTATGAGAACTTGGAACCCCACAATGTACGATAGTAAGGGTTCAACATGAGCATGGTCAGGGCAGTCAACTGAGCCGTCCTGTCCCAGCCATCGGAACAGTAAACTAGCACAAAGGTTTAATTGTTCTCTACCTGAAACGAAAATGGCACAATTTTCAATTAATCTAGAGCATATATTCCCTGCAGGAAGAACAGAATTCCAGATGCTCTACAACTCGACATACGCACTTACCTTCTTCTATTATATTTTGATTTACTATAACATTAAGGTTTAACGTAATAAAATACAAATTCCTAGAAAGTAATTGATAAATGTCATCTATACTAATATTATAAATGTGAAAGTTTGTAAGTATGGATGTATGGATGTTTGTTACTCTTTCACGCACGAGCGGCTAAACAGATCTGGATGAAATTTGGCACAGAAATAGATTATAGTCTGGAATAACAAATAGACTTCTTATTCCGTAAAATGTACGGTTCCCGTGGAATATGATTGTTTTTGTTTACCGCTAGTTAATATTACAAATGCAAAAGTTTGGATGTATGTTTGTTACTCAATCACGTCAGAACGGCTGAATTTATCTGGACGAGATTTGGCAGAGAGATAAATTATAGTTTGGTACATGAGTAAAAAAAATCGACTATTACTTTTTATCCAGAAAAATGTGCGGTTCCCGTGGGATAGATTTGTTTTTGTTTTTTACTAGGAAGGAACCCAAGCGAAGCGAGGGTGAGTCGCTAGTCTATAATAAAATCATTTTGTCAACCCTACACTTAAACAGTAGAGCTATATTACTACATTTAAATTTGTATTAAAATCTAATTTAGATCAAATAATTTTATTTAGTTTACAGAATGCTAAGTCTGGCTCCGATATTAAGACGTGAACGTTATTTTTATCTCTGTAAATAAATTAAATATTGTATTAATAGTTATATAAGTCTTAGAATGGCTACGAGAGTGGAAGTGACCCATCCAGAAAGTATTCATCATTCATGTGAGTGGTGTTTCTTATTTTGTAGTGACCTCATAAAAACTATTATTTTGTAAAAATAAAGACTAAGACTGAGTTGAAAATTAAAAGATAAAAGGTTCCATAGTCAAAACCGCAAATACAATTAATTTTGAATTACCTGTCTTTATTTTGCCGTAGAAAGGATGAATACATTTTGCCGTCTTCATCTGAAGCTATTAATTATCTATGTATTCAGCCCTTTTTAATGTCTCACTGCTGGACACGGACCTTCTTTCAATACGAGGGGGATTAGGCCATATTCCACCACGCTGGCCAAGTGCGGGTTGGCGGACTTCACATGTCTTTCGAAAACTTGCTAGGTTTTCTCAGACATGCAGGTTTCCTCACGATGTTTTCACCGCAAGGCAAGTGGTAATCATGTTAGAAATGATGCGCACATGAAAATATCAGAGATGCGTGACCCGCGATTTGAACCCGCTTCACTCGGTTTCCCAAGCAAGCGCGTTACCACTGGGCTACCGCTGCCTTTTCAACGCGTCACGCGTTTCACGCGTTATCAAGACGAATCTAACAACGTATGAATCATTAAAATCGGTTGCGCCCTTTAATAATTACGAGGGAACATATGGTCGGACATACTCGTACATACGTACGTATCATACATAATATATACATATTTGACTGCCTCGGTGGTGTAGTGGCTAGCATGTACGGCTGCACATCCGGAGGTCTTGGGGTCGAGTCCCGGGTCGGGCCAAGTTTAGTTATTGAGTCTTTCTGTATAAGTAAGCCTCAGTAACAGCCCGGAGTTGGGAAGTTGGCGGTGTCTCACCCCCATGCCTCGGAGAGCACGTAAAGCCGTCGGTCCTGCGCCTTAACTCTCACCGGTCGTGTCTCGTGTCGTCCCACCAGAGTATGAGAGTAACAAGAATAGACAGTGCACTTAGAATAAACAGTTGACTCGTCTCAATGAGATTGGCCGCCGTGGCAGGAATCGGTCAGGAGAACATCATCATACGTATTTACAAACAAACATACATACATATCAAACACATACCCCTCCTTTGAGGTCCATTGCAGTCGGGTAAAGAGTGACATCGACATGTGACGTTAAGTTTAAATAAAGAAAAAATGAAAAATTGAAGGTTCTAAAACTTTCACACTACATAAAGTATTTTTTTAAACGAAACAACGCGCATTTTAATTTTGTCTTCCGAAAAGCAATGAACAAAAGAGATTTGAAAAAAGTTCTTTTTGAGGACTTTTGAGACACTAATTGTGCATCTTGTTTTTGTATATCAAAGTATAACGTACTCGTATGTATATATAGTAAATTTTGTTCCAGTACTCGTTGAAACTTGGACTTTGAATGAAACAACCGTTGGTGTATCGTTTGTTATATTATCCTACCTTGCTGTTGTGTTATGGATATTACCACGTTTTATGAAATACAGAGAGCCGTACCAACTGACTAATACTTTATTATTCTACAATGCATTCCAAGTCGCCTTCTCTGCGTATGCAGTTTTTCTTGTAAGTATGCACAATTGCTATTTATTTTGTTCAGTGATTATTTTTTAAGTAACCAAATCTATAAATGATGTCCTAACAATATTCACTTATGCATAGTATTATAATAAAATTAAAACAAGAAAATTATAATTTTATGAGATTCGGTATCATGTGACCAAAATATAAGCTGATATGAGGGCATGGCAGTGTGCCCGCCAAATCGAACAAAAAAGGGCACAGCAGTGCCATCTTTTTCTCAATTAAAAAAGCTACACGAATATAGACTTATATTTTTATATATCACGGATGCTTAAAATGTTAGTCATAAATTAGCAGTTTTAAAGTTTATATATTAATAGGATTTGATAAAAATAGTTATCAATATATCTATTAAAATAATAACTTAAAGAAAATGGTTTGTTTGAATTAACACAAGTGATGATTAACATATAACTGTAATAGCAATAAAATATTTTAAAATTATAATAAATATTTTGTTTTTGTTTTCAGTATACTAGATACATGTTTAATTATGGTATTATAACTACAAGGTGTCCTAAAGGAGTTGACTTACATAAGGTATAGTAATATAATTATTTATGCATTCGCAAATTTTTTATATATGTGTATATTGTACCTAACTACATGTGACCCACCTTAGCTCGGGTAGGTGATATTTCAAGCTGGAAAGTTATACTTAATTATTTTTTCAATTGCTTCAAATGATTGATTTATGAAGCTTCAAAGAATTATCAAAGTCGGGTTAATAGTTTTAGAGCTTTTATATTACAGACGAAACAAATCTTTCTTTATGATTTAAATTAAGTAATTATGTTATAAAATGTATGTAATAATAGCCAGTTATATAATTGAGGCATTCATAAAATACGTCACGCTAAAATCAGCTTTTTTTGACTTCCCTCCCCCCGCTATTGTCACGCTGTGTCACACTTTCTGTGACCCCCCTAGAAATATTTCGTCACAAAAACTAAAACACCTCAATACTAATAGATAATACACAAATATTGTGAATTAAAAACATTTATTTAGTTATTATCATAATAAAATTTAAATAAATCAATAAATATCTTTTATAACGTAGTACCTACACCAATACAGCATAAAATCGAAAATAATGTAGTCCAAGCCAAAATCATAAAAACGGACTAATGAGTTCTACAAGGTCTCTATACCAATATTCGTCGCTTTAGTGCTTACTCTTTCAAACCACCAATACTTGTTTACTTTATTTCAAAGATTCATCTATACTAATCAGGCGCGGATCCAGAGTTAAATTTTGGGGGGGACGGGTCATAGGCTGAAATATACATATAATAAAACAGTAACTTAGCAAAATCTGACCAGGCGCGGATCTAGTTTCCTATTTCTATTTTGGCGGCTTTAAAACTTTAGATATAAAGCCATCTAAATATTCTTTATATAAATTTCATCAAAATTTGTCCAGTGGTTTTCTCGTGATGCGGTAACAGACAGACAGACAGACAAAAATTCTAAAAACTATAGATTAGGACTCTGTATCGATAATAATGTCTATTTCAATTAGATTTTCCCAAAATGTTTAATGTACAGATTCGACTTAGTTACAATTTTATTATATGTACTCGTATATAGATTTCTGCAAAAACTTTTTGATATTAATCTTCAAAATACATATAATAACCATTTTTTTAAATCGAAATGTTCATCCGTTATTCCTTCTTTTCTTAGACTTCAAACTTCTCTAAAAAATATTTTTGACATGACACCCATGACCCCCCCATCCCTGGATCCGCGCTTGATACTAATATTAAAAAGAGGTAAAGTTTGTGAGGTTGTGAAGTTGTAGGAGGTAATCTCTGGATCTACTGAACCGATTTAGATGAAATTTGGTAAGAACATAGGTTGAGACCCTGGGACATAGAATACTTTTTATCCCGGAAATCATCCATCAAGGGGGTGAAAATGGGGGTGAAAGATTGTATGGGGAATCAAGCTAGGTACGAACCCGAGCGAAGCGGGGGCGAGTCGCTATTATACATATATAGATAAAATAGTCTGCGGCTTTTTAAAGTAAAATATGTATTTAATACCAACAGTATTGTATCTCTTCTACTACCCATACTTGACTACGCCGATGTATGCTATTTGGATGTGACGGAGGAGCTTCTGAATAAGCTAGAGCGTCTTCAAAATCTCGCCATACGCTTTATTTATGATCTGCGCAAGTATCATGTTTCCGACTTTCGTGCTCGTCTTAAATAGCTCCATATCCGTCTTCGCCGTGATATGCACATTCTTTCATTTCTGTTCAATGTCCTTCATAACCTCAATTTTGCCTCTTACCTTCGTTCCCGGTTTAACTTCCTTCCCACTTCAACACGTTCCAGGCGGCCCTGCATCACATCGATGCTTGACATACCGAGAAGCAACACCAAGTTTTTCCAAACCTCATTCTCGGTACACGCTGCAGTGTTGTGAAACAGACTTCCCAAAGTCCTACAGGAGAGCCTTTCTAACGATGTATTTAAAGTCAATTTAAAAAAGCATTTTCTAGCTCATAATTGAAAAATATGTATGTTCTGTAATAATATAAGTATGTTTATGTATATATATGTATAATGTATATACTCGTAGTTCTGGTATTTATTTATTCTCTCTAATGTTTATGTATTGTTTATAATACATATTTGTAGTTATGTATTTATGTTTATATATTATATATGGAAATATAGTGTGTATATATATATATATATATATTTGTATGTTTATATATCGCTTTTATTTTGTTTTACATATTATGCTTATACTTATTTATTTTCTTATCGTATCTTTGCACTTTCTCTTTCTGTCCCGCTACTTAATACTATTTCCCACATACATGAGTTGACTGGAAGAGATGTCTTATAGAGATAAGTCCACCTTTGTCCACATCATTTTCTATGTGCCTGTATTTTTTTTTATTACTTGTTTAGTGCAATAATGAATATTTGTATTGGCATGTCAAATTTAGTAATTCTGTAATATTAACTCGTTTGGCGAATTGGTGGTTTGAACAAATAAGCAATGAGACCGTTATGTTGATCCAAAGCACTTTGCGTTGGGGTGCTGTAATGTGTGCGGAAGCGATCCGGCAATGCCCCATTGCTGCGGCGAGGGGTTCCGCTGTAGGTTTTAGTGAATAGGAATCTTACAGGCCCCTGACCGTTGACAAAAAGTTGTTTTTACTTTAGAAACCCATATTTTATAAACTAATTGTTTTTAAGTGAAGTGGTTATATTTGAGTTTAAGCCATTGATTGAAATAGATTAAAATTTCTAAAAATACTTTCCATGAAAATAATTTTATTATTTATTACAATAAGTAAAAATACAATATTCGATGTTTATGTAACTCTCGTTGTGCGAGTAAAGCATTAAGCGCAAGACGAACCCGCGACCGCTGGCACAGCCAGTAGGGTCACTAAAAACTGAGCCAAACGTGTCGTCACAATCTTACTTCTTTTCTTACTTTTACATATAATTTTATCATTTTCCATTCATTTTAATTAATTAAAATTGAACACTTAATATTTATTTTATTTTAAGGTCATATCAGAAATCTGGCCATACTTCATTGCAAAGCACGTAGATCTGTTGGATACAGTATTTATCGTATTGAGAAAAAAAGATAGACAAGTCACTTTCCTGCATGTTTTTCACCACGCTCTCATGATTACATGGGTATGGTTCTACTTAATGTTCCATCCGACAGACCACTTCGTGGCAGTGGGATTTGCTAACAGTTTCGTCCATGTTTTAATGTATGCGTACTATGGAATATCGTCATTAGGACCCGAGTACTCGAAATTTATATGGTGGAAGAAGCATTTGACTAAAGTTCAATTGGTAAGTAGCAATCTATACATATTATAAAATTTTAAATGAATCGAATCTGTACATCAAATATTTTTGGAAAAATCTTATTGAAATAGTCATTCTTATCGATACAGAGGTAGAATCTATAATTTTTAGAATTTCTGTCTTTCTGTCAGTCTGTCTTAGAACGCATCACGAGAAAACCACTGGACAGTTTTTGATGACATTTGGTATCATGATAGCTGGTTATCCGGGTTAACATATATGATACTTTTTACTGTGGGAAAATATCTACTTTCTGTTAAATCTGTACTAACCGTTAAAACCCATCTAGGGACGAACCCGAGCGGAGCGAGAGTGAGCCGCTAGTTGTTGTGTATATCTTTTTTTCATGGTCAACAAATAGGCAATATTAACACTCTTTGGTATAAACATAATCAAATTTCTTCGATAGGTAGGGTAGGTATCAATATTGTTTTATGAGGTCTGAAGAGGAAGTTGTGGATTAGAAAATATGTTCGACTTAAATTAAATACACAAAGGCAGTTGTAGCTCAATGGTAACCTTGAATTTGTAGTTAAAAAACCAAGTGTAGTGGGTTCAACTCCCGGGTAAATTACAGCTGAAACTTCCAAATGAGAAACATGTTTAACTACCACCTGCTTTACGGTGAAGGACAATATCGTGAAGTTACTTGCATCTCTCGTAATGGCATCGTCTGAGAAAACCTGAATAGTTTTTGAAAAATATTAGAAATCTGTCGACCTCCACTAGGCCAGCGTTGTGGACTACACCCTGATCCCACGGCTCTCCGTGGGACCAGGGAGCGTACCCAGCATTGGGACGTTGAAAAAGGCTGAATAAGACTGAATAAGAATCAATAAAAACAGAAACTCATGAAATCGCAAATTATCGCGTAAAAACACCTATGCCCGAATTCAATAACTCCTTTTTTTAAATTCAGAGATCGCTCATAGAAAATATTTTACGTAACAAATAGTCTATTATAAGTCACCCAATTATACAAACAAACCGAGATAAAAATAAACTCTTAAAACTATTTGAACTCCTACAATATTCAAATTATCCTCCAAACGTATTTCTTATAGATATATATTACTAGCAACTCGTCCTCGCTTTGCTCGGGTTCATAAACTCCTCTAAACTAGGTTTCATAAACACCTTCTAGTAAAAACAAACTATAATCTATCTCTGTGCCTTTGATCCTGATTCGTTCATCCGTTCTGGCGTGATTGAGTAACAAACATCCTAATATTGATTATAAAAAACTTCCACCTTTATAATAATATGGATAATGGGATGTGGGGTATATAATATTTTATTTTATTACAGGTCCAATTTATCTTAGTGATAATGAATTTACATTATCAACAAAAGACAACGCCGTGCCCCATTCCGTCAGCATTTCATTATTTTGGGCTGTTTTGCATCTGTTCTTTCTTCTTTCTATTCATACATTTCTATGTACGAAATTATAGCGCTATACAAAAGAAGAAAATCGATACCATTAACATTGGCTGTAATGTTGATATGCACAAAATGAACTGAATTATGTATGTATATTAAATACGAGTACATTATTGTACAAATTTGTAAGCACTAAAAAGTAATAATTTAATATATATATCTGTGCCTCCTGTGACAAGTGATACAAGTCAAAAATCTACATTTTACAGGAGAGCAAAAACAAGATTTAAAAAATTCTAGTTCGCGTTCTAAGTAGACTAGGTTAAATTTGAGTACCTTACTTTGTAGATAAAAACGTTTATTTTCACTGTGCATTTAAATTTTTCCGGTAAATATTATAGCTTTTAAGTAATAATTGAAAAGCTTGTGAGTTGTACCTTTTTTTATTTCTAGTACATGCTAAAATTACGTGATAAATGGTACAAGTACAGTTAAATTATGTTGCACCTGTAAGTTATCGTTGTGTAAATTGATATACATGAAGTAAAAATATCTAATAACTCATTGGAATATGTTCCTAGCGCAATATTGCTCAAACAAATGATAAATATACTACCCCAAAGATGACATTTTTTTACTTATCAGTCCCCTATTTACATATTTTTGCTGAATTGTATCACTTTGCTAAAATCTTAGCTTTTTAAAATATGTGTTAAATAATACAACTCAAGTTATACCCCTTACTAAAATGCATATTTATTGTGTAAATAAATACAAGTTTTAGAAAAACAATCATCGTTTATTAAACTTCTTCAAAATCAATAATTCACTTACAAATAAGGCAAAGTTTTATCAAAATTCTTAAAAACGGTAAATTGAGATCTTATCACCATCATTTTAGAATACGAATGTAACTTAACTATTCTCAGTGGGAACTAATATAGTTTCACAAAAGTTAGATAAAAAGGCGGTGGTACCGTGGTCAGAACTGTTCGTTCTTATTCAACGTAGTACGTATAGATGTTGTCTCGGCTTGAATCCAGGACCAGCCTCCATGGCTGATGATGTATGCCGATGATATAGCGCTCGTTGATAAGAGCCATGTAGAGCTGGAGCGTAGGCTGAACCTACAACACGTTTACACATAAAAGTTGATTTGTACAGAATTAGGATTAGTAGGTACATGTTGAATTGTACCCTAATCAGTATTGAGAAAAATGTGTTCAAAGTGATATAACTCTAATAATATCAATATTCACGATATATTTACTAAAAAATAAAATGTGAAAATTATTACAATCGCACTTATACCACGATGCACGATAAATAGTATGTGCAGCAATTACTTATAGGGGTTACAACTTGAAATATATCTTTATTCACGATATTTTTGCAAAAACACTGCCACTTATATCACTTTGCACAAAATTATCTCTAAAACTATAGTAGATAGAAGAACGTGAGTTAGATCAAAAAAATCCTCATTTTTTTTGATTATTTCTATGTAAAAATCACAAAAAGGGTACAACTCGACTTATATCACTCATCACAGGAGGCACAGATATATATATAAATAAGGAAGTGTATGTCTGTGATTTTCAAATAGCTACCAAATAATAAATTCATAAGCACGGAAAATTTATTATCCGTGGTTATAAGTATGAGCTGCAAATGCCCAATATATAGTAAATAATACATATTGTTTGTTTTTATATTGTTACTGATAATCACCGAAAGGACTGGTTTGTTTTTAATGTTACTTTAAACGAGGAACAGACGATTTTTGTGACAGTAGATTTCTCTGCCATTGTTATACATTAAATCGTCCGGTACTGGATTCCAGGACCGAAAGCTAATCACTATGTAGACTAAAGAAGCATTCTATGTCAATAATACTTAAACACTGTATAGTGAATATGTATGGCGTAAGACAATTAGCATTAAAGAAATATTGAACGATGTGCGTGATCTTTGATTTACATTGACCCAAGTATACTTATTCTAATGTTGACACATAGCTAACAATAATAATTAACTGTTGATGGTGTATAATTTATTTCCTACTTTTAAATTTTTTACTAGGCAGGCTAGGTGTTAGCTTCACTAACTAATTAACAAGTTGTTTAAGTAGAGCACTGAAATCCGGATGAGAATTTTGTTCTCATCGACGAAGAATGTACGAAGAAAGTTTTTTAATAACATACATTCGATTAAGCAATTTATTAAAAAAAATAATTTATTGTTGATTTTTTTTTAAAACTGCTCGACCGATTTCGATAAAATTTAAATGGGACCACGTAAAAATTATACCCTTTGAAACAAAAACAAGTTTTCCCAATCGGTTCAGGCGTCTTCAAGTAATCGGTGAACATACATAAAAAAAGATTCCGACGAATTGAGATCCTCCTCCTTTTTGGAAGTCGGTTAAAAATGTATGTTAGGTAATACAATTTGTTGATATGTACGCTATATATATTTGAGTAACTATTATTTGTATTACACATTATGTAGCAATAAATGTAAAAAGGTATTATTCGCTTATGATAAGAAAAAAATATATTTGAATACAATAGGAGCATAATAAATGTAACAGGTAGCAGAAAAACTTTAGTGTTCCGACTTTATAAGTCTATACATATAATAAAATTGTAACTAAGCCGAATCTGTACATTAATTTTTTTTGGAAAATCTTATTGAATTAGACATTATTATCGATACAGAGGCCGAATCTATAGTTTTTAGAATTTTTGCCTGTCTGTCTGTCTGTTACCGCATCACAAAAAAACCCCTGGAGGCATTTCGATTAAATTTGGTATGATGTTAGCTGGCTATCTGGGTCAAAACATAGGATACTTTTTACCGCGGGAAAATATCTAATTTCTGAGAAACAATACAAAAACTACATTGTAAGAGTAATAATACTAATATGTAAAACTAATAATTTGCTTTTTGGTCATCTGAACGCGGGCGGAGCCACAAGTAATGCTAGTTAAATTATAATATTTTGTATAATGAGCTAGTGATCGATTGATTTAGCTGTTGTATCTGTTGCTCACTTCTAATAGTTATTGACGGCGATTTTTCATCCTTTTTTAATAGAACTTTGCCATAGGCAGTCCAACAAAATTTGTAAGTACCAGATTTTGTTAAATCACAACCAAGAAAATGAAGACGAGAGCCCTTCCGAATTAAGTGCTCCGAGAGAAAAATGAGCGTATCGTCATGTGTTTTAAGAGATGCATACATCGTAATTTTGATTTATTCTTTATATTAAATGCATTACCCATTTTTATTATCTCCTTCTGGATTATTGCCGAACCAGTTTCCACAATTATCGGTGTATTAAGTAAATCGGTGTATTAAGTATATAATAAGCCCTATATATGTATTTCATGTCATGTTTGGTGATCGGACAATCAATGTTCTTAGAAAGACACAGAGTCATTTCAATTAGGTCTTCTTTAGTCTTATTGGTTGTTCTTGGCACGTTCATGATAAAAAAGTTGCGCTTTTGATTACTTATCTGGATCTTGATCTGATCTGGATGAACAAATCTTCCGTAGTTTGTAGAGCTACCTGAAAAGTGATAATAAATATTTTTACAATTCGCATACGTTTTTGGGTTTTGTCCATTTTGTTATGGTGACGCAAGGAGACGCAGTGAAATTTAGTATTATATGAAAGCTACTGAAATATCCATACTAATAGTATAAATGTGAAAGTGTGTTAGTTTGTTTGTTTGTCTTTCTTTCATGTTGAAACGGCATGGTGGATTGGCGTAATTTTTTGTGTGGAGATAGTTGGACTTGGAGGGCTGGAGAGTGACATAGGCCACTTTTTACCGCGGGAAATTATTTCTTTCCTACGGGAAAACACGTTACAATACAATCCAAAAAAATTATGATCAGAATTACTTGAAACTTGGTATAAATGATCTTCAATACAATTAATTAAATACGTGTTATAGCATTTTTCGAAACTCATCCTAAAAGGGGGTAAAATACCGGATGAAAGTTCTGCTAGTGCTTTATAAATATGTGTAAAAACAGGTTGAGTGCGATTGAATATAAACTTTTTCATTGTGAGAAAAAAAAGAGATAGTATAAGCCTTGTGTTTAAAATATGTGTCTTTACAGTCGTAAGTACTCATAATTTAAACGTTTTAGTTATGTATTTACTAATAATATATTTACCTGAAGGTATAGAATCCATAATTTTTTAATCCTGATATTCACAAAATAAAATATTAAACTTTATTCAAACAAATATTCAAAATTGTAATAAATTACTCCACAAGCACTGTTCAAATCAAATGTGTGGGTAAATAAATAAAAAGTGTCAAACGTTTTAAAGATAACTAATAGGTGGCGTTCATGTCTTGTTGCTACTTTAGATGAAAACTTTTTGATTAAACTAACTTTATTTTTATCAATATTGGCCATAAATTACGTAAAATTCACCTCTGTGTGTCGTAATGTTTTTAAATAATGTTATATACGAGTATTTGACCGAATTTAAGCATTATCACATACCTGCAAACTTTAAATTCACATATACATTAATAAGCAAGTCATTGTTGGTTTTTTTGTTGTATATTGAATAATCAACTGCCTCAGTGGAATAGTGGCTAGCATGTACGGCCGTAGATCCCGAGGGCCTGAGTTTGAGTCCCGGGTCGGGTCAATTTTTAACCAACTTCTAAAAAGGAGGAGGTTCTCAATTCGTCAGAATCTTTTTTTTTGTAATGTTCACCGATTACTCGAAGACGCCTGAACCGATTTGGAATTTTTTTCTTAAATAAATTGTTTAATCAAATATGTTATTAAAAAAATTCTTCTAACAAATTACCTGCTTATTACGTCTACACTAAGAATGGAAAAATAAAAACTAAAAAATAACCGACTTCCAGGCATTAAAATGTAAAAAATAACTAAACGGCGGTTTTTATTTAGAATATTTTCGAAGTCGGTGCCAGCCTACAATATTTTAAGGTATGAATATCTAATAGGTAAATATGTATTTTACGTATGGAAATACATATTAGATTTGCTTTGCATCGGCTGTTAGTCCCTGGAATCGGTTGCAGTACCTGGAAGTTGTTTTTTTTTTGGTTTTTATAACTACTGAGTTTTTCTGGT